TGCTTGCAGGTGCTAGGATCTGATATATAGGAAAACCTAAAGATTCCACAAAAATGTTACATCTTAGAAAAAATTCAACAAGGTTATGGATACAAAGTGAACATACAAAACCCATGAGTTTTGCTTCTGTACACTAGCAATCAGAAAATTAAAGAATTTCCATTTATAATAGCTTAAGAAAGAATAAAAAATTTGGAATTAATTTAACTAAGATGTACACTGAAAACTGCAAAACAGTGCTGAAAAAACTTAAGATATCAAAAAGCACATGTTCATGAACTGAAGCACTACATCTTGTTAAGATGTCGATACTATCCAAAACGATCTAAAATGTCAATACAACCCCTATAAAAATCTCAACTTTTTTGGGGGCAGAGATAGAAAAATTCTAAAATTCTATGAGGCAGACATTGCCCTAATATCAAAGTCAGAGGAGGACATTACAAGAAAACTACAGGTCACTATTGCTCACAAGGCTAGATGCAAAAACCGCCATAAAATATTATCAAATTGAATGTAACACTCTATAAAAGGAATTATATACCATGAGAAAGTAGGATCTATCCCAGATAGGCAAGTCTGGCTCAAGATTTGAAAATCATTGAATGTAATTCATCACATCAACAAGTTAAAATAGAAAAATCATAGGATTGTACAGATTGTACAGATGCAGTACAAAACAATTTGACAAAATCCAACACCCATTCATGATAAGAACTCCAGCAAACTAAAACAGAGGCACTTCCTCAACTTGTTAAAGACTATCCACTAAAAGTGATAGCTATTATCATCCGTAATTGTGAGAAAGTCAAAGCTTTCCCATGAACATCTGGCAAAAGGCAACCACATCCCCTCACTTCATTTCAACATCAAATTGGAAGTTCTAGCTAACCAGTAAGAAAAGGATATAAAAGATATATATTGGAAAAGAAGAAATAAAACTGTCTTTGTAGACAACATGATCTGCTGGACATGATCTGCTAACGTTGAAGAAAATGGACTTTTCTTGTGTATTTTTTTTCCTTTTTTGATCTGTGCTTATTAGTGTTTTGGGCTATGTAATTCTTGAGCACCCAGTTTGGATATCTGAAGCAAAAAGAAAACCCAGGAAACTCACCACTGTGGCATTCCTTGAATTCCAAGGTCTCTAGCTCTTCTGCCTTTTGTGTTTGTCCAAAGTGTTAACTGTAATTCATGACAGTACGAGGGAGGAGTAGGTCTACTCCGTCTTGTCCAGAAGTGGTGTTTGGAATGTTTCGTTGAATGAAGCGAGAACTAAACCAACCCTTGGATAATGATAGATCTCAGCAGAAGGACTGCAATGTGGCCAGAAATGGACCTAGTTTCTTCTTGGACACACTTTTACTAACCCTTCTCAAACTCAGACCAGGTACATGGAGAAAGGGAGGGAGGTGTTAGGAGTCTCGTTGTTTAATATCACAAGATTGGGATTGAGAAGAGGAAACTTTGGTTCATTGCTTGGTTTATGTAAGACTCTTAGCTCAATTCTGGTACAGGACCAGGAAAATCTTAAATAAGTGAAGGTAATAATTCACTTGAGATGTTGGGAATGTTCTTGGACCAACTTTTACTCTTGCTGATTTGATTCTTAATATTGGTGGGAAGTGCAAAAGACTCTAACCTGTTACACTAGCTGGGAGTCATCCAGGGTGCCTGGGTGCCGGTGTCAATGACACAGGGCCCTTATATCCAGTGTTCACAAAGCTCTCTAGCTAGTTCCCAAAATCTGACCCTTTTATTCAGGACTATGTCATGAGCCAAGCTTGAAATAACTTATAGGTGCCCCAAAGGGGCATTTTTCTATCCATTTCTAGACTCAGAGTACACCTTATGGGATTGAATATGACCAGTTTGTAACGGTTTGGGGTTATTTAAAAGTAGCTGATAGTCACAATTTCTGCTTTAGTTTATGTTAGTCTGTGCACAGCTCATCCATCAGGCTTCAGGTGGGACACGCAAACATGACATAACCACTTCAGGACACTTTCATTAGCTCCCCTCCATTTGGGCAGTGCCTAACAGAGGTGGCCAACATCTCCTCCTTTTCATATCTAGAAACTGTAACACTACTCATTTGCTTGCTCAAGTAGCATCTAGTTCTTACCCCCAGCATTCTTGTTTCCTTTCTTAGCGATATACGCGGTGGCATTTTCCAATAAGATGCCGAGAAATGTGTTTCTTTTCTGTAGGAAAATATGGAGACAACTTATTTTCTCTGGTAAGAAATTTATAATTGAGAGGAAAATCTAATTCTAGGCCTGCTAGTTTTTGCTGATTTATAGTCCCTTGAGAGATTCCACCATGGACTTCTAGTGAATCCTGGACCTGGGACGTGACGGTGAGGGAAATCAGAGGGACTGTCATGTCCAGCATGCAGTAAATCTTTATTGTCTTAGTGCTTATTATATACTATTTTAATTGCAGCAGGTGTAACATCAAAGCATACCATATAATAACAACACATATGAATGATTAGTCTACTTTCTTACTATTATCTACTTCAGACAGTAGGGTGCCAGGTGGTTAGTTCTCATGCACATAATCTTATCGCCTCCTAGCTAGAGAATGGGAATTTTGCTCATTATTTTTGTTATTTTAAGACTGTGGAGATGTAGAGGCCTGACTCCACGGAGGTCACATTCTGGGCACTCAACTCCAGATCCTGTCACTCAGAGGTTTTCCTCTGAGATGCATGTGTTTTCACATGCCTTAGGGACTCAGGTCAAGGCCGTTCTGCTCACTGCGTGGGGTCTCTCCCAACAATTCATGACCCTCCCACCCCCAACCATCAATATCACTATCTTGAAAATATCTCAACAGATTGGGCTGTAATAAAAAGTATGTGGGGGCTGCTTCAACCCATCAATCCCTCTAGAGATTACCACATCCCTACATTCATAGAATCAGGTTTATTCCATGTTGTGTTCTCTCAAATTAAACTTTGGTGGGGAGATTCCATTGGCAGAATCCACATGGCAAGCTTATATCATCAGCCACACGGGAAGTTGAAAAATAAAATGCAATCTATTCTACTTTGGTACGATAGGATTCACAAGTTAGAGACATACAAGAATATAGGCGTTTGAGAAATAAGACAACTAAAACTCACTGATGGCTATCATTAAAATTGTAGACCACCTTTGAGATTTCTGAATAACCCGTAACAGGTTCCATATTTAATATTTATGAGAATTTTTCCCTGATCCTGCCTGATTGGGTCAAAGGTGAGCAGTCAACGCAAGCTGGGTCCATGCTCTGCTTTTCTGGTTGTTCAGGCTGTTCTCTTGATCAGAAGGTGGAAAACCTGAGGACCTGTGGCTTTGTTACCTCCTTCCCTAAGGACGGAGTTGTAGAGAAAGTGAATTTTGAGAGGAAGCATGGAGAGGCCACCGGAGAACAGCAAACACAGCGAGGAAGCAGGGCATCTTCAATTGCTGCAGGCTCACTGTTTGAGCTTCGCTTTCCCTTAGAAAATTGGCTGACTTGGAGCTCTTAAATGCCTAAGCAATCTGTTCACAAATCACAGTAACTCTATCTTCATTTTGCTAAGACTAGTAAGAGATAGTTTGTTTTTTGCAAACAAAAAGTCTTTTCTTCTTTAAATTGTCTTGTAACTTTTCTCACCTGGGCTGACCATGTATTCTTCCCCATCTTGAGCATCTGATGGGGCTTTTGCTCTCTAAGCTCTTCTCTACCATCTGCAAGTCTTAGACCTTGTCTTTATATTATTCATGTACGAACTTTGCCTTCCGTTCACACTCACTTTTTTTTTTTTTTTGAGAGTGGGTGAAAAAGGATGTTTATTAGGGTTTGATCCCCTGATACAGCCACATATGTAAAAACATAGTATCAAGAAAAAATTATTAGGCTGGTATGATCTCTCTTCCTCTACTTTGGGACAGTGTGCCAACACTTCCTCCCCCTCCCCCCCTTTCCAGATGCTCCCTTCAAAACCATGGAGTCCAGGGTACAGGGGTCACTTCTTGGCAGCCTCGGCCTGGGCTGCCAAATCAGCCTCCTTCTGAGCAGCCAGGAACAAGGCCCGCTCCTTCTGGAAGGCTCCAGCTCCTCCCCACGGAGGTCCTTCACCACACGAATGCCCAAGGAATGGGCAGAGCCAGCAATGGAGCGGGCCACAGCAGACAGGGGCACATCTTGGAGGGCAAAGGCATCATCCTGAGCTTTGATGCGGGCAATTCATACATGTGCCTCAAGGTCACCAGGCGGCCACCTCTTTCCCTGTGTGCCGGGCTCCCTGTTCAATCCCAGCAGCTGCCTTCAGGAAGTAGGAAACTTCAGTGGGTTGTCCGACTTGGTATCAAATGTCCTATCCGGCTTCACAAAACTCTTGGCGGGCAGAGGAACGCCTTCATTCACGTCCTTTGTCTTCTCACTGAACTCCTTGCAGAACTGACTGACGCAAACGCCTCGCTGACCCAGGATGGGGCCCAGCGGAGGCCCGGGTTCAGCCTGGCCTGCCCGGACCACGGTCCGGGTTTCTTGAGCGTTTGAGCGCCCGGCTTAGCTTCGGCAGGATGCGCTGCTCCCGGCCTTACTTCGCCTCAGGGCGACAGGAAGAGCGACGCTCTGGGCGCCGCCATCTTGGGCCGGCCCTCCCCTCTTGCTCTTCGAGTTTAAGTTGCTCCTAAGTGGGCAAAACCCCACCGCCACTGTAGGACTGTGCTGGGGAGCAAATAAGAGACTGGGGAGCAAATACGGGGAACTGAAACTCTGCAGACCTGGCGCTGGGACCTACCTCTGGAGTCTCCGGATCCTGGCTAGGGGAGCATGATCTCACAGGGGGTCCCGACCGGTCTGCCCGAGGCGTGGCTGCAGCGCTCGCTCGCTGAGTAGCTGCTGCAGCTGGGTGGTGACCCCCATGCCCTGGCACTGTTCCAAAGCTGCGGTTGTGACCAGGACGGCGACCCCCAGTGTGCAGCGCGAGGACCCTCGTGGACACCACGCGCTGGGGGGTGGGTTCGAAGCTCTGCTGGTCTGTAGGCTTTGACTTAGCACGGGAAGAGGGGAAGGTGCGGCGGGGGGCTGATCATCACGGCTCTCTTCTGCCGGTGTTATAATCACCCTCTGTCCATGGTTCTGGGCTGCCGTGGCTCTCTGGCTGCTAGGGATGTTGCCATCGGGGACAAAAAAAAAAAAAGAAAGAAAGAAAGAAAAAAGGCCATTCTCCAGTTCTCCAATTTCCTGCAGGTTTAAGTGTCAGCAAAAGTCTTTCTACCTTTACTCTCCACAAAGTGTAGCAGTTGAAGAGTAGTGCGCTGGTCAGCAAACTGGGCTCAAGTCCTCAACTTTCCTTTTTAACAGACACGTGAATGAGGATGAAATGTTTTTAGTCCTTGTTTCTTAGATTGCACCTACAATGAGACACCGTATGTGGACCTCACAATTCATATGAATTTACCCTGAAAACAGAAATATGGCTACAGAGGTTGAAATCTTCTATAAGCAGGTTCCAACGAGGAAACCTATTGGAATCCTAACCTGAGGGCATTTCCTGGTGCCCAGGTACCACATGGGCCTTTTTTTAAAACTACTGACCACTCAGTGTGAGGACACTGGGCATGCCTGGCACATAGTAGGAATGAATACAGGAATCAAAGTACCTCTGTTGACGCTGTGTCCCCACTTACGAGGATAAATGGTTTGATGACTGACTAAAGGCAATGCTGTGGGAAGTGCTAGGAACACTTGTTGATGCTGAAGGTGTCAGAGTTTTCGCTGTACATGGGGTGCGTCTATGGGAAGAGGGGACTTCAGGAGCCTACTCTGTCACCAGCTTGGTAAAAAAAGGGGACATTTTAAAATCATCATAAAAAATGTCAATTCACCAGGAAGCAAGAGTCCTCTTGTATGTGTGCAATAATATAGCTTCAACATATGTGAGAGAATAGTTGACCAAACTAAAAAATGAAATAGTGAACTTCACAATCAGACTTGGAGACCTGAACATTCCTCTCTCAATAACTGACAGAAAAAGTGGGTAAAAATTCAGTGAGTATATAATATTTGTAAATTCTGTGAACTTAATGGCTATTTATGGAACCCTGAACCCCACAACTGTAGAATGTACATTGTCATCAGGATCACATTGGCTGGGCCATCAACCCAGACTTACTGGGTTTTTTGACTGTATGTAAGTTATTTGTTGACAGTGTTCTACTATAAACCTGTAACAAAGAGATAATTAGAAATCCCCTAGTATTTGGAAATTGAAAAGCAAACTTCTGAGATGAAATGATGGTATAAGTTAGAAAATATTTTGATAAATTATGGAAACATATCGGAATTAACGGGGTGCAGCTAGCTATCGCAGGTAAAATTTATAGCTTGGAAAAATATACAAGAAAAGAAAGTTTAGGATCAATCATTTGAACTCCCAGTACAAAATGCCCAAACAAACCCAAAAAAGTAGAAGGAAAGAAAGAGTGAGCAGAGATCTACAAAATAGAAATCAGTGAGAAAACAGATTACCCAAAAGGTGGTTCTTTGAAAAGATTAAGAGAATGGGTAAATCCCAAGGAAGACTTCCAAGGATGAAAAGGAGTGCATGTGACAATCAGCAAAATCATAAATGTCAGATTGGACGTCATTCCATGTCTCCCGGACCTTAAAGGAACCATGAGAGTATGCTGGGAAGACAATTTCCCGATGAATTTGTCAACTTAGGGGAGATGTGTAAATTCCTTAAAAAACCACACAGTATTCTGAAACTAGCTAGATACAGCTAGCTCAGACTTGCTGGCGGGATGCTAGCCTTTTGAGAATGCTCTGTTACATGCTGTTGATGGAAGCAAGTGCTAAGGTTAGTCCAGATGTGAGGGGCAGAGGAGCAGCATCTGCTTCGGATGACACATCAAGGGCAAAGCTGCACTGCCAAGGCACTCACATTTGGGGAGGGGAGGGGGCGGCACCGCTTGTGTGACTTACCAGTCATCAATTCTCTGTCCTCTCCCCATCCTCCTGGCCTAAATGGAAGCTCCTTCAGGGCTCATGCCTCAGAGTTCTCTTTACTGAATACTTCACCCAATGCTTTCAGCTGACTGGTGTCATCTGTTCTTGTTAAAAAGAAAAATTTGGCTGAATTAAATCAGAGGTGGTTGTACATATCAAGTGTACAGTTTAATGAATACACCAAAGTGAAAAATCCTTGTAACCCCCACCCAGTTTAAGAAAGAAACATCCTCTCTGAAGACCCTGCCTAGCCCCGTCACATCACTACCCTGAAATTATTTGTTTTTCACTGTTTATTCTGTAAAAACTAGAGATTCCTAAGGTTGACAAAGAGCACAGAGAAGCCCCGTATGGTCCTTCCCCAGGTGCTCACAATTCATGATTCTAGTACAACATTCAAACTAGGAATCTGACGTTGGTTCTACGCCATTTTATCATAAAGTTTTGCTCTTTCTCTTATTTGTTCTCTTATTTATCAAGAGAAGGACCATTATCTACTCTGTCCTACTTTAATTTTTTCATACCTCTGTTAACACGAGTGTCATACTACGTAGTCTTGATTTGTTACCATTTTGTTTTCTCTCCTCAAAGAAAAACTGTGTGGTATCTTATTATTAATCCACTTTGCTACTCCAGAGGTTAATGCATTTACTGGCATATAGTAGACACTCAAATGTTTGTTGAGTGCATAGATAGGAACAAAGCACTGAAATTCCCAGAACTGAAAATCTGAATTTTACAGTATCAGGTAATAACTGATGAAATCTCTTTAGGGACAAGGTAGAAAACAAGTGGTAACAACACACTGAAAAGAGCTACATGTACTCACTGCCATGCTTAGTATTGTCGAGTGAGGCTTCTGAAGTTCTTTTCCATATTAGAAGAGGGGGTGAATCTGGATTCAAAACATATCCTTGGGAAATTCTCCTTACTGCGGAAAGGCAGCCTGTTTGCTTCAGGAAACCGTTGAACAGATAATGCAAGCAATGACATGGGATAAGCAGGACAGGGAATGGAAAGGGAGAGAGACAGCAGAGACTTTCAGGGCAGCAAGGAACAAAGAAAAACGATTGAATAGGATGCGTTTTTGATTCATACTTTGTTTAGATGGAAGCTAGTTCCGGTAGAAGAACTCAAAGTGAAATGCACACTTTAACGGAAAGGACATAGATTATACAGCGTCATGCTCTAAGTCTTTACAGAAGGCACTGCAGACAATCACTAATCACTTTCAGGACAGCTACTCAGAGTACCTAGAAAATTAATTCTTCCTTGTAATAATATAATTAAAAAGGGAAAAGAGTTCCACTTGGAGTCTACAAAAATATGTGTAGAGAAATTTACTGCACACCGAGAAGAAATTTTCCAACTTGTTTTGTATTTGCTCTTGCACAAAATCTGAGTTTTGTAGCAACTTTGTTATACAGAGATGTCACTAGGGCCCACAGCAGGCATGAGTATCAGGGAAAATCTCACAGTTTGAAGGGTTTTAAAAATGGGTCTCAGCTTCTTCTTCTGACGCGAGTGAAGCAGTCTTATCTTCACAAAAATCCCACTGGAAAAAAATCATATCATACTTCCTAAAATCATACATATAATACTTAGTGTTTTGTAAACACAAGCAAAACTGATGCTCATAGAATAAAATGCTAAAGCACCATTTGCTTCCTTTTTGACCCACCTCTAACTTAACCCATCCTTTACATTCCTATAAGCACTTAAAACTTTTGGTATTCCTCCAGTTTTACAATAAAAATATTCATGGTCTTCTTGAGCATGAACAGATACCAGCAGCCCCAAAACTACACTTCCCAGTTATTACCTATTCTTTTCCACCAAGTAAATGTCATTTTGAATTTTAGGTAATCAATCCTCTCTTTTCCTTCCAAATTTACGAACTAGCTCGCACTCTCCCTAAACATTAAAATGTAGTTTTAGTTTTGTCTGGTTTCAAACATCTTATAAGTGAAATCATACAATATGCATTATTTTGAGTTAGTCAGTGTAATACTTGAGATTTCCCTGTGTTATTAAATGTAGGTATAGTACATTTTAGTTACTACGTAGAATTTTAGTAATGTACCTCAATATTGACCACACACCCAACTGAACTGCTTCTACTCTGGGGGCTACTATGCATACTGATTATATCAAACATATATTTTATCCTAGATATGTATCTTTTTTTCCCATTCTCTTCAAATTTTATTACCCCTCCCTCAAAAAAAAAATGGGTGGAGGGGGTAAGATGTCCATGAACAGTAATCATCACAATATTCAATTAGAAAAAAAGAATAAGGACCCAATTCAGTTGATGATGTCTTATTTTCCCTCTATACAAGTCAAAAAAAAAAAAGTCAAACTTTTTCTACGTGGAAGGATCCCTTTTACTCTGAAATGGTGGCCAAACGAGTAATAAAATCCCTGATTTTATCTTCTATTATCTTTTTATTTGTTCTTTTTCTTTCTTCTCCTGCTCAGCCTTAGCTGTTTCTTCTTGATGTTCTTTGATCAACTGTTCCACTTCTTTTTGTTTGAGAACTGTCTTTCCATTGTCTCATCAGCAGACAGTTTATTAACATCCACAACAAAGCAGGCACCGACTTCAAAGTCATTTCTCCTTCATTGTAGTCTTGCTTGAATGTGGACCTGGCTGCAGTGCTGTTATTTCCAGTATGTGGGGCTTTCCATGGAAAATCTACTAGAATCACTTGGCTGGGGGCTGAGTCACACTTTATCCCATTCAATGCACAGTGACGAAACACCAATGGGACATTGTCCTCCAAACTATGTAAGAGCTTGTTTGAGGTCACACAGCGCTGGAACCAACTGCTCACAAGGAATCACAGGACTCTCTGCTCACAGCAACTCCCAATGCTCTAATAAAAACCTTTGAGCAACAAGCCTCAGTTCCTTAGTCATACCATCAGCACCAGGTCTTCATTGAGTTTATAATTTTTTTTGGAGAAGAGTTCTGTCATCAAGAAGCCAGTGGACACTGTCGCTGCCGCCAGCAAAATGCCTTCGTTTGCTAAAATTCCCAGCCAGGAGCTTGCACGTCCAAGAGCTTACGTGGCATAGTTGACTTAGGACATTAAACTTCTTAGTTGTTAGTGTTTTTCATCAAATATGGACAATTTTGGCCAATATTTGTTCAATTTTTTTCTCATTCCTCCAGTTTTCTGGGATTCTCAGTTTGCAAGTATCGCTGTTCTCTATGCTGTTTACTTTTTCCCTCCTGTTCTTCAGAGAGTGTGATCCATATTTTTACATCATGTTTGCTGATTTGCTCATCTATCACCTCAAATCTGCTCTTAAGTCCATTTAGTTTTTTTTTTAATTTCAGTAACTTATTTTAGAATTTCAGTATTGCCATTTTCAAATAATTCCCATCTCTTTTATTGATATTTTTGTTTATAAAAAATAACTAAAGTATAACATATAGAAAGAACTGCATGTATTTAACACGTACAATTTAGCGAGTTTGGATAGAAGCAAGCACCATGATACCATCTCAACAATCAAGGCAATAGACAGATATTCTTATTTAATACCACCATCCTTTAATTCAGCATGTTTTCCCTGTAGCTCTTGGGAGTCTTTGTGAAGTCCAAAGTTTGTCTTCCTCTCCCTTCAAAAGATGATGTATCCATTGTTTTTTCTAATGGATGGGTTACTATTCCTGATACTGGCATGTCATGTTTTTCTTGAACACGGACATTATAGATAATATATTGGAACAACTTCGGATTCCGACTGCCTCATCTTTCCCCAGGACTGGATGTTATTGCTGTCTTCTGTGACTGGATTATACAAATTTTGTGGCATCTGTCCCTTGCAATGTATGTTTCTTGTCGTATCATTTACTGTTTTTCTTCCTTTTTTCTTTTTATTTTTAAAGTGATTTCTTCAGGTTCTCCATAGCCAGCACAAGTGGTTCATCAATGATTGTGCAGAGGTGGTGTGTTATGTGTTGAATTGTGTCCTCCCCAAAATGCATGTTACAGTCTTATCCCCCGTGCCTCGTTAAAGTCTCTATAGTAGCGATGATGTTTTAATTAAGTAGATTTTGATCCAAGATGGCATGTTTTTATAAGCAGATTACGACACAACACAGCAAAGACATGTAAAGACAGCCATCTGAAAGCCAAGGAGAGAAGCTAAGGAAGAAACCAACTTGGCAACACCACCTTGATCTTCCACTTCCAGATTATAGCATTGTGAGAAAATAAAATTCTGTGGTTTAAACCACCCAGTTTGTGGTAGTATGTGATAGCCCTTTCTGCTCTTTTTCAATCAATGCAGTTTAAGGAATGTAGTCAAAGTTTAGGTCATTTGTAAATCTGTGCCAGCTTTTACTTTGTTCACAAAGGTCTTACTCATCGAAGAGTGAGTAGCTCACTAGGGCCCTCTCCAGTCTCCTTAGTGTGTGCATAACTCTGTGCATAGTTACAATGTTCCAGAACACAAAGGCATGCAGCATGCCATCAAGGTGCACTTAACTCTCCTGTTTTCAAAATCTGCCTGTTGCATTTCTGGATGGTTGCCAATCAATTTCTTGCCTCAAGAAGTTTGGGATCTCAGGACAGGAATGACATTGGTTTTTCCAGGTTGTCTACCAGTTTTAATAACACCCTTAGTCATGGAACTTTCTGTGCTCTGCTCCAAATTAAATCAGCTCTCTTCAGCAGTGTGGCTACTGGTTCTAACAGTATGACCCCACACAGGTGGAATTTCTGCAAAACGGAATCTTAGGAGGTGGGACAAATGGGTAGAACTGGAGATGCTCCAAGCTGAAATGTCATGCACATCCACTGTTCTTTCTGGGAGTCAGAAACTTCTCAACTTGTTGTATGCTTTGGTAAGTTTCCAGAATCTTTAAAAGGTTGCTTATTGACAATTTTGTCCAGCTGCATCATTTCTTTTAAGGGAAATCTGACGTATTCCCATTCAACCATTCTGGAAGTCTCACCCACTCCCTACTCTTGGAAAATGCTTTTTCCCTGTAGTCACAGACTTACTTCTGTACCTCACTTCAGCTGTACTTACTTCAGCTGGTCCCTGCCTAGTGTGCCCTTCCCTTATCATCCTTTATAAAACAATCTTTGCCTTATCTCCTTACTCTTTTTCACTTCATTTTTCCACTTTCTGGATTTTAGTGTGTGTGGGGATGTGTGTGTATCTGTTTATTGTCTTTTCCCCACTGGAATGCAAGCTCTCTGGCTGTAGGGAGGCTGTTCCGAGTTAATCATTGCATCCTTATTGCTCATTACAGTGCCCTGTAAATAGCAGGTTCTCTATAAATAATTGTGAAAGAATGGCTGAATGCCAGATTTTTTTTTCTGATACTTTCTTTTTTTTTTTTTTTTTTGGGCCAGATTTTTTTTTAAGCTTGTGAGAAAATAATCACCCTGGTAAACCACTGTGTTACTGTGAATTATTACTGCATTTTGGGATGTTATTAAATTTCCAATTACACTTCTACAGATTGAATACCTACAGAAATACTAGCTTCGCATGCACAGATTTATCGGGAAGTTCACTGCATCACTGTTTATAATATTTAAGAGTCTGGGAAAATGCTAAATATGCAGCAATAAAAGAATATTAAAATAAATACTAGGGAAAAATATGAAGCTAATAGAAGCCATTGTTTAGATATGTTTTAAAAAGGAAAGATGTTTATGATAGTTGAGAAAAGTATAATATATGATTACATAATTAGTAAAAAGGAAAACTGTGTGTCTTTATGTCTTTTAGCTTAGATTTGTACATGTGGGTATAATGAGGACTACGTTAAAAGGACAATAACTTTTCATTGTATAATTTTATTTTACTTTTTATTTAGGTTCGTGTATTCCTTTTTTAATTTTATAAACACTAAAAATACAAACTGAAAAGTAAAGAAAGTATTATCACATATTCCATTTTTATTAGTTCCAAACATACTTTATCAGTGTACTTCCTCTCCTCATAGAACATACTTACTTGGAATCCGTATCTTCCCATTGGCCAGAGAGTGGATAATACTTACCAAACTAAAACAGCTGAAGATTGAGTAGGTAAGTGCAATACAAAATTCCAATGGGTAGAACATCATTAACATACGTGAAACTCCCCTCCCAAATTTCTGAAACCAAAAAAAAAGAAAGAAAGAAAAAAGGGAAAAATCTTGCATGATTGTTTATTAAGTGCAAATATGTTCATAGAAGGAGCTCTTAGTATCAGAGCTAAGGAACAGAGGAGGAGTAAATAACCTTTCACCATTGGATTTCCTAAGCCATTTCTGCTCTTTGGCCTTTTGCTACACTTTTCTTAGTTTTCATTCCCCTAATTATTGTCTGCAACTTCCTTTCTTGGTCTTCAGCACTCTTGTCTTACTTCTTACAACTTTCATTCTCTCTTCACTACAGAGTCTCTGAAATAGCTCACTATTCAAATTATTTAGATTTGGATATAAATAATTATTTAGATTTGGATATAATATTGGATTCTCTTTTCTCAAGTTATAAGATTGCTACCAAGAGATTTTATCAAGCAGTCCTCATATATTTAAACCCATTTATTAATCAAAAACTTATGTAAAATGACGTGCTAGGATTAAAATCTCAAAGAAATTGCTGTAATATCCTATGGAAGAATGAGTAAATTCAAAAAGATCAAAGAACATTTCAGTATGAGTGACTGTAATTGCTTGGATAAATAAAGCAGATCTCTCTGTTGCCATGAGAAAAATATTTTCAATTGCCTATCAAGATGAATGATATTGCTATTAACATGGACTAATGACTTTAATCTTTGTACTAGCCTTGGAAAGGCAAGAATAATATTCAGACAGGAAGAAGAACATCATGTTCCTTTTCTTCAATTCCTCTCTCTCTTTCGTTGGCTTTATTTAATATCTTTCACATGCAAGAAACTGGTAGGTGGTAGGGATTAGCTGACAAAAATGCTGTTATTTAAAAAAACTCCTTCCTTAGAAATAACACTCATCAACATATACTCTCCAAATGAAGGAGCACCAAAATATATTAGACAACAATTATCAGCTCTGAAAACCAACATTAAAGAAAATACATATACAGTGGGAGACTTCAACACTCCACTCTCACCAATGGACAAATCAGACAAAAAATAAACAAAGAGGGCCTCCCCGGTGGTGCAGTGGTTGAGCGCTGGGCTGCAAAGCTGCCCGCAGCCTCTGCAGCGCCGGTTTGATCCCCAGCCATCGGGCGAGGGTCCCGCATGGCGTGACAGACCTCTCCTGCCGTGCCCCTGCTCCCCTCAGCAGTGTATTTTGTCAGTCTGCCTGTTCTGTTCTCCGCTCTGGCTCTGGTGATTTCTCTCACCCTCCCATGCTTCTGACTGTACCCAGTGCTTATATAAATAAATAAATAAATCTTTAAAAAAAAATGAAGGGAGGGGGAGTAACATTCTAGGCAGTTGCTTCTTTGCAACCTATTTTGTTTCAGAAATAATTTAATAGCATAAATTAAAAGTGCGGCAAAGTAATTAAGAAATGGAGGCATAAAGTAGAACCAGTAATGCATATAAAACATAAAATACACATCACATGACATATGGTTTGATAATGTAAGCAAAACCTGAATGTAAGAATGAGTATAACATGCCTGGAGAAAATGATATAAAAAGCTTAACTCAGGTATAGAGTTCATTCACACACAATATTAACAGGAAGATAAAGAAAAAACTATAGAGGGACTGAAATAGCAAGATTAAGAATCCTGATTTAGTTTTGTTGGCAGAGACAATCATAGATTTTAGTTTGAAAGTTCTTCTGACCAATGGGCTGGCAAGATTGTAAGAAGTCATTTTGCCACATTCCTTAATTTACATGTGCTAATACTATTCTCAAACTGTCTCCCTAAGAGCAGCAAGATGTCTGTGAGAGAAGTTCAAATAAGAAAACAATATATACAGAGAGTGGCTGAGTTCTTGACATGTGATTTATACATCTGAATCCAGCTTAAGTTAGTTAAGTGCCCTGTTTTGGCTTGAGTCAATTTGGGTTGTATTTCCCGTCACTCACAAACGAGACAGCCCTAACTTACAAACAATACTTGGTAACTGGGTCGACAGTGGAAAGAGAACGGTGAAGGATTATATGAATGTTTTCAGTCTAGGAGACTAAACTAAGGGAGTTTTGCAATACAGTACTTGAAGAGGTAGGTATCTTCTAGTTTGAATGTGCTGAGTTTGAGAGATGGTGCTAGAAGCATATCCAAGCAGAAGAGTCAAGGTGGCCATTAGAACCACAGTCCTTGGGAGACTGAGCAGTTAACAGACATGTATTAGCATTTTCTCCTTTTACAGAAAAAGAAATGAAGGAACAGAGAAGACATTTGTCCAAGAGCCACATACAGAGAATAATCATTTTGATACAAAGATGTGCCAGTAGGATCGATCACTTACCGCTTGTTCAAAATTCCTATATGATACAGAATTAAAGTCAGACAACTCAATAATTACTAGAATTCCTGAAGCAACTGCAACAACTATACTGAGGATGTTCATGATCAAAGCGTATGTAATCTGAAAAGAGAGAGAGGACAAATTGGTAATAACCAGAATAAACACTTTGGTTGAATAATGTATATCGTTACAAAAAAAATCAAGTTAAAACTTTGATCTGGTTTATGGCTTTACAAGTGTGGATAATCTTGTCATTTGAGTAAAATGATAATTTCTGGTTTATATGAAACCTAGTTAATTGGGAAATAAACAGTGAAATATTATCATACCAAAAAGCATCAATCTTCCATTTGGGCTCAAAAATATTTGCATTTTACAATCTTCTGAGTTAGTTGGAAAAAAGTCTATACAATATATGATTTGAACAAAAGGAGTTCCACTACAAAAAGGAAAAAAAAAAGATGGAAAATGACTGTAGAAATAAGTGAAATAGGATTCAATGATTTTTATTTTTTTATTTTTATTATTTTTTTATTTTTAGGATTTATTTAACAAACAGGATATTGGGAAAAGGAAAGAATTTCTAAGACCACAAGTGCCCAGATGTCTCACCCCAGATAGTGTCCACAGTGTCCAGGAACCCCAGTGTCCCCAAATAAAGATCACTTGTGCCAGATGGTGCTGTCCCACCTATAAGCCTGGAGTGTGCCAGGCTCCAACTCATATTTCTAATTGCAAAAATAAACAAGGGGCAACTGATCTATATAGAAACACAGAACAAACTCTTTGCAGAGGATTCAATGATTTTTAATCCTGGGTTTTCATTCTCTAAGGAAATTCATCAAAATATTTTGATTTTGGTTTTATTATCTGTACAATTATGGGATCAGATGAATTTATTTCTATGGCATTTTTTAGGTCTAAGAGTCTAAGTTTTTTTATTTTTGCAGTGTCTTTCAACCTAGGTCATAGATGTATCCCTACTCTGGACAGATTCTCCTTCTACCATGTTCCAAGATATACCCTTTTCTCAAACTGGCTGGCAAGGACAGTATAGCTGTCTGGAAGCACTGCATCTCTATAAAGGCACTAGATCCCATTAATTTTATTGAATTTTATTGAATACTATTTATAAAATAGTAAATCTTATTTACTATTGAACAGTAAAGTTCATATAATGTTAAAAGAAGGCAGACTATCAAACAAAAAAAAAATGCCCATATTTAAATTTAGAAACTTTTACACAAACAGGATTCTAACAAGTGTAGCATGTTTGTCTACATTAAGTTCGTCTCCTGAATTTCCACTTAGTACCTTCAATTATTTTACAGGTAGGGTAGATAACTTAATTGCTTACTCACTATTTTGTCATCAAAAGTATTTCGCTTTTCGACAAGTGATTTCTAGAATACTCGAAACATTCCAACTCACCAGTTGCAGAGACGGATGCCTTGCTGCCACTATTACCAAGACTCCTGAAATGATAAACTGGATATAAAACACATATTATAAATACTCATTGATAATGCTCATCCACTTAAAGTGTTTTTTAATAACTCCCTCTTCTAAGTCAATCATTTTTAGAATACTAAACACAACAAAATATAAAGAAGTTTTATTAATGGAAGGGGTCAGGGCAAGCGTATATCATTAGTAATTAAAGATAGGGTCACTAATGACAGACATATAGAGGGGACAGTGGCAGAATTCAGGTCACAGTTTATGCCAAAGATGACTCAGGCAGTCCTGATCAGGGGACCAAGTCTGTGTCTATCTGTGCATGCTTTCTGAACTCACTCCATTACCACTTCTAACCTATCCTTACCAGTGAGATGATGTCACTGATGAACACTACTGGGTACATACCCAGACATGAGGAAAGCGATCCACTGGTCTATTCCAAATTGTGTTTATAAAGAATTAACATTTTCAAAATGGCCATCCTACCAAAAGCAATCTACAGATTCAATGCTATTCCAATTAAAATTTCAATGTCATTCTTCAAAGAAATAGAAAAAATATTGATGAAATTCATATGGAGCCACCAAAAACCCTCAATAGCCGAAGCCCTCCTGAAAAAAAAAAAGAAGGGAATGGAGGCATCACTCTCCCAGATTTCAAACTATACTACAAAGCCATAATAATCAAAACTGAATGGTATTGGAACCAGAACAGACACACGGACCAATGGAACCAAATAGAAAACCCAAAAACAAACCCACAGATTTATGGTCAACTATCTTTGACAAAGGAGCAAAGAATATGCACTGGAGCAAAGAAAGTTTGTTCAATAAATAGTGCTGGGAAAACTGGGTCTCTACATGCAAAAGAATGAAACTTGACTACTACTTCACACCAGGCACAAAAACCAACTCAAAATTGATTAAAGAGCTGGACATAACACCTGAAACCATAAAATATAGAAGGAAATATAGGCGAAACACTACATGACATGCACATCAAAGACATCTTTACAGACACATCACCCAAAGTAGTGATAGTGAAGGCAAAGATAAACAGCTGGGACTACATCAAATTAAAGAGTTTCTGCACAGCAAAAGAGACAATAACAAAAACAAAGAGAAACCCCACCGACTGGGAGAACATTTTTGCACACAACACTCACGATAAAGGACTGATCACAAAAATCTACAAAGAGCTAATGAGACTCGACAAAAACAAAGTAAATAATCCAGTCAAAAAATGGGCAGAAGAGCTAAAAAGAAACTTCTCTGAAGAGGAAATGCAAATGGCCAACAGACATATGAAAAAATGTTCAACATCACTTGTAATCAGGGAAATGCAAATCAAAATTACCATGAGATATCATCTCACACCAGTGAGAATGGCACATATTAAAAAATCTAGCAACAACAAATGTTGGTGATTATGTGGAGAAAAAGGAACTTTCCTGCACTGCTGGTGGGAGTGCAAACTGGTCCAACCACCATGGAGAGCTGTGTGGTGATTGCTCAACCTCCTAAAGATAGAGCTTCCATATGATCCAGCAATTCCACTCCTAGGTATTTAACCAAAGGACACAGAAACATCAATTCCAAAGAGCACCTGCACCCCTATGTTTATAGCAGCACTGTTTACAATAGCTAAGCTTTGGAAACAACCCAAATGCCCCAAAATAGATGACTGGATCAAGAAGATGTGGTCCATATACACCATGGAATATTACTCAGCATTCAAAAAAGATAAACACATGCAATTTGCAGCAACATGGATGGAGCTAGAAGGGATCATGCTCAGCGAAATAAGCCAGAAAGAAAAAGAAAAATACCAGATGGTCTCACTTATAGCAGAATTTAGAAAACCTAAATAAGGGACCAGGAAAAAGAATAACTATAAGAAAGAAAAAAATCAAAATCAACAAACAACTATGAACCAGAGACACACTATGGCGGGGGGAGGGCAGGGAAAGGCGGGATTGGGGTCAAAATAAGGGGGTTGCAATTGTATGGGAAATATAAAAATAAAATTAAAAAAACCTCTTAATTGAGGCTGTAGCCATTATTAAGGTAACAGCTGCTATTTACATTTTGGCCTTATTTTTTTAAAGAGGCTCCACTATTTCACACCAGGCTACTTAGTCTATCTCCCAGAAGTGTGTAGCTAAGCCATGGTGTGTGAAGGTGGATTGCACAACTCCCTTCTGACTTACATGCTTTAGTGGCTTTGACACAAATCTAAATCAAAGGCTTAACTTGTAGAAAAATACTCAAGGGTAACATAAATCTACACACTCAGCACTTCGTTTTGTAACCAAAGCTGAGGTTTCCAAGGAGGTACACAGTGAAGGTAAGAGCTAGTCCAAAATATGAAGTGAAAATACCTTGTGAATTGTAAACCAGAACACTCTCTAACTAGATTATCAAACTATGTGCTTTACAAAAACGCCTTTCAAAGTTTATCACCCTAAATGAGAAGTTGTACATTGGCTTAAATTAAAATTTTAGGTAATTTACTACAGCAGTTACATATGCTACTGATGTAACATGAAAAATTAATCACTGAGAAACATGAATCATCTGGATATCAGTGAAAAGCTCAGTGTTTTTCTCCTATTGCTGTTCTAAGGGAAAGCTCTGACACTTGCAGGACATTTTACAAAGACAGGGATCTCCCAGAGGTCACTGCTTCACCTGTAGCCCTCTCAAACGGTGACCATCTTATATCTGACAGCCCTTATAACACTGAGGCTAAGCCTGGGGTGAGTGATCTCTCTGCTCCTTTGGTTATTTCCAGCCATTCTCGCACCTCTAGCTTTGAATCAAATGCCACTGGACTCGTTCACCTACTATCTCTGCTGGTTGAAGTTATCTACTGTCCCTTTGGTCACGCTTCTCTTTCTGGTGATCGTGATCCTTGCATCTCTAGCTCTTGTCTACATCTCTTAATCTTTAGTAATTTTAACTTATACATATGTTCATACATTCTTTTAACATGAGCTTGTGGTTCCTTGAATTTCTCTCCTCCGATCCTTTGACTCCATCCTATCTGTCACTCTCCTCCAGTATCTTGTCTTTGTTTCTGAGAAGACGTGTAACACCTCTCAAATCTCAATTTCAAGTGTCTACTCTGAGAGCCACATTCTACCTCTCTAGCTTATGCTCTGACAATCCTTTGACCCCATCTGAATTTATCCCATCTGAATCCTTCAGCCCATTGTTATAGTCTCTCCTTCACCATCTTGTTTCGTGGCCACCTGTTACAAATACACCCTTGTTTGATCACAATTACATGGTCAAACCACAAATCTTGATTAAAGCAGTTTCCCTCCTCGCTGCAAGCCTGCACCCACGTGGCGGAACTCGGCATTTCAAACACACAGCCCTCTTACCCAGCTCATTATCCAACCAGGTCCCGAAAGCCAACAGATTATCCCGATAATCTGTTGTGAGGGTTGCTCTGTGCATTGTAAGATGTTTAGCGGCACCCTTAACCTCTGTCCGCCGGATGCACCCCCCTCTAGTTGTGAAAACAAAAATGTCTCCAGGTATTATCAAATATCATCTGGAGAGCAGCAAAATCACCTCTAGTTGAGGACCACGGGTAGAGATGATTGTCCATGCTTCTTGCTATTTGCATATTAAAATTCATCATCTCTCCTCTGCACAAATATGTAATTCTAATACCTCCCTCCACCCCCTCCCCACACACTTATTTCATGCTCTCAGTTTTCTCTCTGCTGGTTCAGTTTCCTTAACAAAAGACATGGGGCCTCCTTGGTGGCACAGGGGTTAAGTCTCAGTGCTATCACCACTACAGCCTGAGTTTGGTCCCCAGCCAGGGAGCAACCCACATGGCTCAGCAGACCCCTCCTGTCTCGCCCGCTGGTCCTCTCAGCAGTGTGTTTCAGTCAGTCTGCCTGTTCTGCTCCCCAGTCTGTCTCTGGTGAATCCTCTCACTCTCCTGCACCTCTGGCCTACACCCCAGTTCTTCTACAATTTAAATAAATAAATAAAAAGACATGATACTTCTAACTTGCTGAAACAAGAAAACCAAAATTTCCCCAGCTATCACCCCACTACACCATACCCCCTGACAACAAAGCCCTTAAAAGAGGTTATGTGGCTTTGCCTCCTCTAATTCCTTGTCTCCTATTATTTCTTAAACCTACTTCAATCAGGTTGCTGCCCCATCATTCTGTAGAAACTACTTGCCAAATTTACTGCCGGCCTCCATATTGCTAAATCTAATGGGCAGTTCTTAGCCTTGTCTTATTAGACAAAACAACAGAATTTCATATAGTTGGTATTTCCCCACCACTTGTTACACTTTGTTTGCTTGGTTTCTGATATACCACAGTCTCCAAATTTCCCTCCTACCATATGACTGTCCAGAAACCACAGAAGAGTACAGATAATGACAAATCTAGAAAATGTATGGCATAGACTCATCAACTATGAAACCACAACTATGAAAATTAACCATTGTAGTGAGGATTATGGTTAAGAGTCTTCATCCTCCACACACTCAGCACAATCAACCCCGGGCTGTCACTGTGGGTTCACTCCATGTCCACTTGTCTTAGAACAATACTGGTAAGTTACAGGTACTCAGCATTTATTGAAAAAAGGAATTTGACTTTGAGTAAAAACGTGGGATTTAGTTACATAAATCTACAAAAAAAATCTTTGTTTAGAAACTGTTCCCTCTCTTCCACTCATGTCATATTATCTACTGAATGATTAAGTCATATAAATGCATTCTACTCACAGTAAGCCCCCATAGAAAACTTGCTGTTTTGAAAGTTATAGGTTCATAAATCCCAAAGACTCCTTCAATTTGTGCCATATACAAAATCAAAAGGAAATACCACATGAGAACATAAAAACTGCCAATCATAATCTGGATAGCCTGTGAGAAGAGAATGCTGTTAGTACTGAAACCACATAATTTACAACATCAATCCAATCAGTGTTCACTGTAAGAAACAGTCAACACTTTTACAAAAGATGTGAATAAAGCAACAATGCAAGAAACTATGTTTTCCTGGATTACTAAACCCAAAAAGGCCCTAAGGGTTACCAATTAGGAATCAGTTACACCTGAAATATCAGACTGTTCAGTATTAATTCTGGTCAATTCTCCTGTAACTGAATTGTCACTCTACTACTAGTTATCATTCCTATCAAGTAGTAGCACGAGAGGAGAATATGGAAGGTACTTGAGAGAATAAATGGTTACTAATCTATTTGGATACAGGAAGCCATGTATCCCATATTTTATGTTAGTGACTTATTAAGGGTGAATCACTTTTTGACTCATAAAGGTTTATCTTTTTCTTCAAAGCATACTTGGTTTGGATCTTTTTCTCAGCATGCTAGAATGAGGTGCAGTCCAACACAGAGACACAAACAATTTCTAAAGTTGACTTGCTTGCACAAGGTCATCCTGTTGGATAAGGGGTGGGTTAGGGAAATGTGGAATTATTACTCACTTTAACTTGTAAGGAGATAATTACAATTCCAGTAAATATATTTCTGAATTTATATGTGAATGGATAGGCCAAATACCAAATGACAATTTTAGTTTAAAACTCTTTAAACATTATTTTTACTTTCATATAAACCTTAATTGGAAGCTATTTTATGTTTCAATAGCTCCAGCTCTTTGTAAAGCAAGTTGTCAATTTAATACATTAATGCAATCAGCTGATATTAGAGAAGTTTTTTATAGAAAGACTAATTTTTTGGTAACAATCTTATGTATTTTTATAAATTTAGAATGTAGTTTCTGCATCAAATTTGGAGGAATGGTATTCTTAGAGATTCTTTGGATTGGACTGGGAGAAAATCCTCTTAGATGGCAATCCCTTCAGGACCTACACTGGACTTGTTCCATTGTCATCACCAACCTCCAATATGTGGGCCAGTGTAGCAGAGGCATCCAGTAAATACCTCTTGCTAAGCACATCAGAATAAAGAACATTAATTCCACATAACTTTCCCAACTATTAAAAGGAGGGGGGCTTGAAAAATAGTGTTTGCTTTTTTATGACTAGCCAAGTCATAAAACTATATAAAACTATATAAAACTATGACAGAGCCAAATAGCCTGGTAAGAACTCTATAGGAAAGCAAGAGTGCTAGTGTGTGGTGAAGAATACAGCTGTTGTGTTTTTTTTAATTAAAAAAAAATGGTTCTTAAACTAGAGTCAATGGATGAATTCCAAGGCCACAGATATCTCCCACCTCCCCCTCCCCCTCAAATAATAAAAAGAGTGCAGAGGATATTACAACTGCATGTCCATGAGTCTGGGGAGAAGATTTAGTGCTTTCTTTTTATGTCCAAAAGGCTATGTGACGTCAAAGCAATTAAGAACCTCTGCTCAATACTCAGGTAGGAGACTGAGACAGCTGGTCTACACAAGCCAACTCACAGGAAAAGTTAACATCCCCTGGAGAAGTTTTCTTCCCTTTACACATAAAGAGTGATCTTTGTAATTCCTTCGTGATAAGAGAGCTAGATAAACTTTGTTAATAATTTAAAGACATGAATTAATAATCATCCTACTGTCTAGACATCAATACAGTAATTAAAGGAGATCAGCAACAGATCTCTCACAGTCAATAAAAACACTCTTTTTTCCCCCTTTTTTCCTTTATTCTCCGTGTATGCTGGCTTAGTCAGTATATACCCTTCCATCTAAGCAAATATTTGCTCATGAAGGGACATGAGAGTTGTGCCTTATCCAAATCATTCCCTCTCTAGACCCAAGAATATTCCTTATTAAATAAAAATAGTGCATGATTGTGAATTTAGTTCAAGGGAAGTCTTACTTACCCCTAAAACAAGACCATCTGCTTCAGAAAGTCTTCTACTCACACATGCCATACTACCAGCATTTCCTCTAGATGACTGTCGCTGATCTTTGCGCTGTTTTTACTAGCAAACTTCTGCAAAACAATACAGCACACACACACACTTTGCTCAACGGAAAATTCTTATGGTTGATTCTTATTGCTTTACAACCACTGCCCCAAATTAAGGAGCAATCACCTTCTTTCCAGATCATAATTTTTAGAAGTATCAACTTGCATCCACCTTTCCTGAATAATGGCCTCCATAACTGAAAAGCCTCTCTATGACTTAAAAATGCTAGTATATATATTTTCTCTTTTTAGAGAACAGTGTGTCTCTGGATGGTAAAATACAAAGAACACCCATGGAACAGTATTTTTAACAAAGCTTTCATCCACTCATTTGCAATTCATAATCAATTCATTACAATTCATAATGCCATGTTTGCATTTTCAAAATCAAGTTATTGTACGTCTTCATTAAAAAAAAGGGCTTGTGATAGTTTTCTTTATATTATTTCTGCATTTCTCCCTGGCACTTGGATATAAAGACAAAAACCTGCTTAGGGCGCCTCCCTGGTGGCACACAGGCTTAAAGACAGTGCTAACAAGCGATAGCCAGCCACTGCAGCAAGAGTTCCATCTCCGGCTGACCAGGAAGCAACCCACAAGGTACAGCACACCTCTCCTGTCTCACCAGCTGCTCCCCTCAGCAGTGGGTTTCAGTAGATATGCCTGTTCTCTCCCCACTCTCTCTGGTGAATCCTCTCATCCCCCACACCTCTGGCCTGTACCAGTTTTTGTATGCACAAATAAATAAATCTTTTTAAAAAAGATGAAAAACCTGCTTAATAATTATATTTCCAGTTTCTGGTTTATAATTGCTTGTTGATTTTGGTTTTTACTTTATTATAGTCTTTTTCCTGGTCCCTTATTTAGGTTTTCTAAATTCCTGCTATGAGTGAGACCATCTGGTATTTTTCTTTTTCTTTCTGGCTTATTTCACTGAGCATGATCCCTTCCAGCTCCATCCATGTTGCTGCAAATTGCATGAGTTTATATTTTTTGATAGCTGAGTAATATTCAAAAAATACTAATTATAATAAAGTAAAAATCAAAATCAACAAGCAACTATAAATGAGAGACACACTGGGTGGGAAAGAGAGAGAGAGAAGAATGTAGGATCAAAACCGGGGGTGGGGTGGGGTGGGGGGGAATTGTATGGGGACTATAACCAAGATGAAAATGCACACATTGTGCAAAAATGAAAAATGATGTAAAAATATATAAAATTTAAAAAATTATATTTTCTGGTGGATCTGGAATTAATTGTTCTACATCTTCCAGCAGGACATACTTAGGTCAGTAACATAAGCCATATCTCTTAGCCACGCCTGCATCTAAGGGATGATTTTAGAACTCAAGCCCTGGAGTTTGACTTTAGTGACCTTAAATTTATCACACCCTTAAAATCTCATTTGATTATTTTAATGAGTCTCTGGTTTCCAAAAGTGATGAATGGAAGAAATAAGAAAAGCTACAATATATTCCTGGAATGGTTAAATTTAAAACACACCCCCCCCCTTACATTTGGTTGTTCTATAATCCAGTTAAGCAGCATTAGAAAACAACAACTCTGAACTAAAATACATAGAATTAATCATTTACTTTCTGGGGACCCCCTGGCTAATCCAAAAGCAGTGGTAGAACAAGCCCCTAGTCCTTATTCACAGCCCTATCCTCATCCCTAAACTTGCTTTACTTAGAAAAGCTGGAAAAGTCACAAAAGTCATATTTAGAAAGTACTCCTCCACCTTTAGCTGGGGTGAAACTCATTGACTTCCCCGGGCACAGAAAGGCCTTCACCAACTGTTCCCCATGCTCAGCAGCCCCCGGGCTTCAGATGCCCTCCCTCGCTGGGGCGCCCGCTCTGCCTCCCCACCACCCCCTCGGCCCCTCGTGTTCTCCATCTGCTTCCTGTCGCTGAGAGGGTTGCCTTTCGACTTTCACCACCGGCTCCCAAGCAAGTATCAGCCCCCAGAGGTCAACTTTATTTTGGTATGTCCAGGGCCAGGTCTGAGCGGTGACCCCGAGACACCTGTGTGATGAAACAAAGATGGGGCGCACAGGTGAGGCCTGACCTGTGCCGAGGGAAGGGAAAGAGAGGGCGGATGGGGGCCACTGAATTCAGTCCCCACGACCATTGATGGGCTCCTGACACTCAAGAAATCCTGCAGGCAAAGTGACATTACCCCGCATTTTACTTGTTGAAGGTCCCAACGATCGAGTTTCGTCCTCAGGTGCAGGCCCAGGCTAAGGGAGTCCCGTGCGGGCTGGTCGCCCTGCCCCCAGGAAGGGGTCTTCCCGCGCCCCGTCCAGGTTCCCGCGCCCTGCCAGTGTGTAGGCCAGGAGGCAGAGTTCAGGTGCGGAACCCTCCGGGTCAGGTCTCCAGGCCGGGCCTAGCAGTCATCACCGAGGCTGCAGGGAGCCCCGTGTGCAGCCAGCCCTCGGGCAGGAAGCTCAGGCTGCCCGGGCCTCCAATGGCAGGGTGTGGCCCTCGTGCGCCTGCGCAGGCGGACCACGTGACCGGCTCCGCACCACGTGATCGGGCTGGTGGGCCTGGCTGGGAATGGCACGGGGATACTGGCCCAGCTGGTGCCTTTGTAGTAGAGAGCTGCTGCTGAGCCGCCAGGATCAGGGGTGGAAGGCCCGATCCTCACCTTTTCTGTCCTCAAAGAAAAATTCTATCCACAAATGCTCTTTAGAAGGTGTAACTATTGAAAAAGGCCAGTAACATGAGTTGATGCCTCCCCCACAACCCACTTTTAAACTTAAGTAACCGCAGTGCTCTTGTCAGTATTTAGTAAACACTGGGATGACTTTTTGAGCCATCTACTGAGGTGAGTTTCCCTCCAAGGTTATTCCAGGCTTCAGTTTTCTGCTTGATGTGGGCAGTAATTAAATGTTTATGAAGATCTGTGTAAAGAACCAGAGGTAGCAGCCAGAAGGCGTAGTTCCTACTACCTGGGGAGTAGGAGCTGGGGAGATGGATGAGGAAGCAGTAAACCAGCAAACTCAAGCAAGAAATGAATGTGATCTTAATTTAACTGGCAAGTGCAGATTATCCTATTAGCTTACTGGGGTGTTGAAGAAGCCAAGAGAAGACATCCCTGTAGCTATTAAATAGTGTGGGTTCTCATTCATTTCAGGAAAATTTTCTTTGTCATTCAGAAAATTTGAAGTTAAGACTTAGGATGTAAGTATTTAGTGAATGATAACCAGTGAGCAAAACATTCAGGAAGACTGATTTTTTTTTTAAATAAATCTCATGAGTGCCTCTATCACCCCTTTTTGTTAAGTTAAATTAAAAGTATTTCAAAGCTGCTATGATCTTTTATGATCATGAAAGAGATTGAAAGCCAATTATAAACCCACTCTGTCTTTTGCCTCATAGCTGGCACCCTTACATTGTGATACCAAAGTGACCACAATTAAAAGAAAATTATGCCCAGGCTTTTATATTCTGTGTTGGTCGATAAGTCATAGAGGGTTTTAATTCTATTCTTAAGTACTATAGCAATTTAGTTTCTCAAATTCATTGAATAAATATGAATACATATTTGTGTTTTTGTAGAGAAGACATGGAATCAAAGCAAATGAATTGATTGTCAATAGCTTAAACAGGGTTGCCTTATTTGGGAAAGTCTAGTTGAGTGTGGTTAGTTGTTACTAAATTTCATTTTCTCTGACTTGAGTGTATTGACTCTGGCTAAAGTTTCAGTTTGTCTAGGTAGGTCCTAATGTCATTAGAACCACCCCAGGGGCCTTCCTGGTGGCCTAGGGGTTAAGTCTCAGTGCTATCACCTTTAATACCTGAGTTCGATCCTTACCCAGGGAGCTGACCCACATATGGCACAGCAGACCTCTCCCTTCTTGCCCCCTACTCTCGTCAGCAGTGTATTTCAGTCAATCCACCCGTTTTTCTCCCCACTCTGTTTTTGATAAATTGTCTCACCTCTCCCCCACCACTTCTGGCCTACATTGCAGTTCTCCTACACCCCTCCCCAAAGAAAGACTAAAAAAAATAAAAAGACAAGAAACAAGTGTTGGAGAGGAAGTAGAGAGACGGGAACCCTTGTAAGGGAACCCTGGTAAACTGCTGGTAGAAATGTAAACAGGTGCAGCCATGATGGAAAGCAGGATGGAAATACCTCAAAAAAAAAAAATAAATTCCAAATAATATAGTTATCTCACTTCTAATTACCTTAAAACTATAAAAACACTAATTCAAATAGATATATGCATTTCCATATTTATTGCAGCAAAATTGCTATAGCCAAGAATTGGAAACAGCCAAAATGCCTGTTGATGGATGAATGGATAAAAATGATGTGGTCTGTATCCACAATGGAATACTATTCAGCTGTAAAAAGAGATGAAGTCCTGCCATTTGCATGGATAGACCTAGAGAGCATTGTGCTTAGTAAAATAAGCCAGATTGAGAGAGACAAACACTGTATGATTTCACTCGTGTGGTATAGAGAAAAAATAAACAGATGAACTAAATAAAACAAAAAATAGTAAATTTTTGGACTAGAAGAGTGATTAGTGGTTACCAGAAGGGAAGGAAGGGGGTGGTGGGGTGGGTAAATCAGGACAAAGGGGACAATGGTGTGGTGTAGGATAGGCTGGACTTTTAGTGTGGAACTTAACATAGGACATACACATACATGCACCTGAAACATATTAAAATGCAATGTCACATCAGTAAAAAAGTTTAAAAAATGTATCAGTGTGCTTTGCAGACTGCTTTGTCAGATCTATGGTTCTACCACTAGAGAGCCAAAATGAATTCAAACAAATACCAAAGAAGATGTATGTACCTAGTAACATTTTATTGAAAAAAAGAGTAACATTAACAGGGAATTTTCTAATTTTAAGACAGTCGCACAATCATTTTCAGTCCTTTGGTCCTTCATCTTTGCCAGTGTGTGTCAATGGTAGAAAAGAAAAAATAGTGACAGGGAGACAGTTGTCACCGGTGACAAACTAAGAGCAAATCACAAATGCAGCCTTTAAAATTCAGCATCCAGCATGGACAATAATGGCCAGCTCCTTAAGAAGTTTCTGCTGAGTAGTTCTTTGCCTTGACATGTAGATTGTTCCTCTTCTTTAGCTCCTAATGCCATAAGCTGGAGGGGTATCACTTACAGAAGGACCATAAGGAGATCCTACTGTCATAGGATTGGCTAGGGTTATGGCTGTAGTGACCAGGACAGGCTGGAAAGAATGAATAAAACAGTCTTGTTACTAGAATCCTATTCAGCAGCCTCACCCCTCCAGAGTCACGTTCAAACAGTGCTCTGGTAGCCCACTGTGGGGCTTAGCTGACACTTAGGTCTCTATTTCTCCAGCATATATTCAGATTATTTTACAGAGAAGAGGCTCCGCTCACCTGATTGGCGCAGACTACTTGGTTGGCAAGATGGGCTGTGATGCAATTTATGATAAACTCCACAACACCGAATATAGCCAACATGCCCAAAATTCCTTTCCCAGCAAGCTGAAATCAGAAATAAACACAGAGAGACATTGATCAGGAGAGCCTCACGCAGGTTTCAAAAAGCCAATGGCTTGCTTGTGTGCTGTGGCTCATCATCAGTTCTCCCCCTGATGAGTTTTCTGTTATCATTGATTGTCTATTTCGGGGGAGTATGAATTAACTTCAGACTTTCTTTAATGTATTAGAAGATTTTCTCTTTGGCCAATAGACTATTTGATTTAGAAACATTAGGAAAGAGGTAGAATTTTTTTCTTTGCAATGGCTTTCCTGTTTTCACAAAAAAGAACTCCCCCCTCCCCCCGCAATAAATCAAGCAACACAGAAAACAACCCACTGTCCCAAATGCCACTGCCTAGAATTAACAAAAATTAGCATTTGATCCTTTTATTCTGGATCTCCATCCATAGGCAGAAGGCAAGCAGAAAAATGGGGACATGAAGAGAGGGGGGGGAAAAAGCAAGGGAGGGATGAGAGAGCAAGAGAATATTCATTAAAAATGGAATCATTTTATACTTCACATTTTTGAAGAGGAAATACTCAATTATAAAAGAATCAAAAGAAGTCAAATTAAAGAAACTGAAGAATTTATGAAATCCATGAGGAAGTTGAGAACTTACAGGTCCTCAACCTCCAAGTTTCAATGTAGACAGCATTAAATGATGGTTTATTATGAAAAAAAAAAGATGTTTAACACTATTTGAAATCTCATCTTTCCTTTCTTCACTTCTGGGTTTTTGGTGATTAAGTCATTTTTCACTTTTTGGTGTGAAATACTAAAGCACTTATATTCAGTTCTGTAGCTATTATTTCTCTAGTTGATGTCAATTTAAAAGCTGATTTTTGACTAATTTTTGTTCTTTTTGATTGGCCTTACAGATAAAGTTTGTGTCCTTGCTTCACTCCACCTTATATACCAGGAGGAACCCTCATATTTTTGCATCCTGATAAGCTCTTCTCTACACTTTACTCCTGAGGTCACCGTTGGAGTTTGTCTTTGGCATATAAGATGATAATGAGGATTCTGTTTTGAGAATATTCAGAGGAACACACTATGTTTCATAGTCACATATTCTTTGGGTTTCTGCTATCTTCTCATACGAGTCTTACTCTAATAAAATAACTCATTTTGATTATTTTATTTACATACAATTTTAAATCTTTGGAAATTACTATCTGGGTACCTTTAGGCATCTCTAGAATCTTTCCCACTGACCATGTGATTAACAGTTAGCTGGACCAATAAGGGATGCCCTTCTGCCTTCATCCATCTCTAGAAGTAACTCTCCCACTTTATTCTATAGTCCTAGAGGTCACATCAGTAAAGCTGGAATAGAAAAAGGGCTTTTGGGCCTCCCTGGTGGTGCAAGGGGTTAAGATGCAACCTATGAAGCTATCCTCAGCCACTGGAGCACAATTTCGAGCCCCAGCCAGGGAACTACCCTCATGGCACAGCAGACCTCTCCTGACTCGCCCACTGCTCCCCTCAGCAGTGTGTTTCAGTCGATCCGTCTGTTCTGTTTCCCACTCTGTCTCTGGTGAATCCTCTCACCACCACCCCCACACCTCTGGCCTGTACCCCAGTTCTTGTATGCATAAATAAATAAATCTTTAAAAAAGAAGAAAGGAAAAAGGGATTTTACACTAAATCTACTATACAGTAGTGACAGAGAAAAAAAAGCAGACACGCTCTAAGAGAAGGAAGTGGAGACAATGAAAGGTTAGGGGAGACTTACCAATACCCCGTAGTCTTGATTGTATGACCCATTCAGGCTCATGTCTATTAGCACTAAAATCACTCCAGGGAAGATAAAAAGACAACTCACGATATTCATTGCTAGGCTGCCTCGTATCTAATGGAGATATCAGTAAATAGAAATCACATAGGATAAATGAAATTAAATGTAGTAGGAATCAGTGGAGTTTAATGGCCCTTAATCTTTGCAATTAAAAAAATATTTATTTGAAGTGGAGATGATTTTTTTCCCCTCTACCCTAGTTACCATGAAAACTATTCTGTGGGCAGCTTAAATGTAGGGGATTTCTAAAATCTATAGAAAAGTGTAAGTACAAAGCAGAAGCTCATCTGTTACATTTGTATAAAAGCCTCAGGGACAATAACAATTACAGCCCCTTTAAAAAAAATAAACTTACACATAAATTTTGAATGAGTATTTTCTATAATAGGTACTGATTAAAATATTCAAATGAACTATCTCGCTGAAGTCTTACAATCATCAACCGTCATAGGTGGTGGTACTAAAGCATATTGTGTATCATAGATAGATACAGATTCCATCTAATTTTATAGGTGGAAAAGTATACACACAAGAAACATTGCTGAAAAGTTTAGGAATTGCTGAAAACACAGAATCCAGTCCTTTTTAGGACTGGATAAAGAACCCTAGGTTTAGAACGAGGAATGTTAGACTTGTTGGGTGGAGATATACAGACAGTGCATCAAACATCCCCCAGTTTCTGCAATAACGGTTTGAAATTCAGCAAGCTCTTTGCATAGAGTGTGTTCTCTTGCAGAGACCTCCGCATCCCCCAAAATCCTCTAAAAGGCAGACTCCTAGGAAAATGGCCTCAGGTGTACTTTGATAGGAATACACTGAGTACTTTGTATTTCCAACTGGACAGGTTGTATGCCGGGACCCTCTCCGGGGAAAGGATCCATACATGATTCTGAAGTGTTTTCTTTTGTTTATGGATCACAACCGTCCCAGGCTGCTTTATTTTATTTCAGTCTAGTCTAGCTGAAGCTAGCAACATTTTCCCATTCTTTCCTTTTGTGCTGGGATAAAGGTAATTTTGAAACCACCTCTGCTTTGGTTGGCTCTCATTCTTAACAAATCATTTTCTCTCTCGTGTTTCAAAAGTAGGCCAGGAAATTGCAAATGGCGGGGCGCTGCGACCGTCTCAGTGGCTCCCTGATAAACCCTTCTTATGTACCTAGCTAGGTGCTTTAGGGATGATTTAAAGAACCGTAAAACCAAAGACAAATCTGAGTAAGGGCAGCAGATACATGCAAATTAAAAAGGAGACTCCAAGCCTGGGCAGAACTGAGAAGGGGCACGAACTAACGCCTAGTCTTTGATCTGGAAGTGCCCAGCCCCTGCTTCCTGGCTTCCGAATTCCTCTTTGGCGTCCCAGGAATCATGGCCCAGCTGAACAGGTGCCCCTCAAGAAAGAGCTGAAGACCGTCTAGGCTTGACTCATTCCCACCCTGTGCGCTGCCGTCAGGATGTGAGGCGCGGCCATCGCTGACTGGCAGATTGTGTGGCTCACGTGGAGACATACAGACCGCGGGGCCATGACAGATATTTGGGGGGAAAATGCTTCCTTCAAATTTTCTGAATTTCCTTCTTAATTTTCCTCTCCAAATAAATCTTTCTAAAAGGGTTTAAAAAGTAGAAGCGGGATAGCTTACCAGACAAATATTACGCTGCTTGACTGCTGATACAGAGAGAGCACCAGCTGCAATGAACTGTAGAAAGAGACACATTTATCTGTGCGGTGCTGTGGGGATTTTGATTCTTCCCAGGGACTTCCTCCTCCTTAAGAAAGGCTGTTCTATTTATATTCATCTAGTTTCCCTCTTAAAATTTCTCTCACATGTCTCAGTTTTCTGGAATAACTGAGAGAGGATGTCTTTTTTATTTGCTTTTATTTTTGTGTTTTAGTTGCAGGTTTACAAAGAACTCATTCTCTTGGAAGCTTTCCTTGTTCTGATGACTTCTGAGCTCACTGCTCAATCTCTTCTCATCATCAATTCCATGTTTTTTAATCATGTTCCCAATCACGTCCTTTTGCCATTCTCCACCCAACCCATGCATTTCCCTCTCAAATGTAATAGGGAATGAAAACTTGGGCTTATTGATGCCTTGATCAGAGTGATCTTTTAGGGTATGGATTTAAGCTGCAATTTAACATGGAGAACATTGCTCTCCCTTATCCCCAGTCAGAAATGTTATTTGTCTAATTTCTCCCATTGATCAACCATAGGGCTTATTAAAAAGTGAGTTATATATAGGCTGCATGAGGATACACTGCATAAACTGACTAGGAGAGGGACGTTGGCAATCTACTCACACAGAGGCCGCCCCAGAATGGATATCCACCAAAAAATGTCAGGGAGTAAAACATCATATGACTGTGATACATAGTGGATAGAAAACCCAAAAGAATTCCGAGACCAATGTGGAAAAATCCAATTACGATCTGGATCGCCTAGAAAAAGAAAACAGACATTTTAAAATTGCTTCTTTGTTTTCAGGCAATAGCAAAACATTGCTCTCATGGCAGTGACTGCTTAGCTCTGCTGAGACCCATGGGTGTCATCGAGTCATAGCTCTACAGCAGGAGAGGTCCCCAAAGCTTCTGACATATGCTGGAGCCAAGGAGACTTGCAGGGGTGGCCCAAAGAGAGTTCTTCAGAAGTGCTACTGCTTAAATATGCATTAGCATCCCCAGAGAAGGCTCTCAAGAAAAATGCCTGTACTGTGACGTGGTGACTATACTTTTCAAATGGACTGTTTCTCTGGCTGGGTCACCCCAGTCATGGGAGAACTAGCAACAGGGAGAAAAATGATTCGCTGGGCTGTAACTATATGCTTGATAATATTCAGTCATCCTCTGTCTCTACTTCCTTCCTCCTTCTGTTCTACTATATTGGACTCCTCCTTGTTCTCCAAACACATCCCATGTTCTCACCTGAAGACCTTACTCACTCCTATCTGCACGGCTCACCCTTCTTCTTGCCTATGCGCAAATGTCATGTCCAAGCAGAGTGCAGCCTGGCCATCTTACAACTGCTAGAAGACCCTCACCGGGTCTTCTTAAGCCTTTTGCTCCTCCTTCCCCTCTCCATGTTATCACCTTCTAACATGCTCTGTACACAAATTCTTTAGAATGCCCACTTAGATTTCCCCCACTAGGTTCTAAGTGCTGTGAGGGCAGAGACTGCACCTGTTTTATTCTCTGCAATATTCCCAACGACTGTGTCGGGTCCACAGCGTGAGGTGCTGCTTTGTTCCAGTAGCTTCTTGGGAGCAGGGCGTTTTCTCTTACCTGGCAGGGGGAGGAGCTGAGGGGCCACCTCCACAGCCTGCTAGGGCGGGGGAACCAGTGCTCACTTTTACTTTCCTAAAATGTTGAAACGTGAAATATGTAGTAGGACTTCCAGAAGAGTCTCCAGCAGGTAATGGGCACTCAGTATAATTCATATGAACATTCTAGCAAAAAAGTTAGAAGCACATGCAGGGACAGAGTGTGCAGCCTGGTGGGTTGTGTGAGTGGCATGAGGAGGACTGCACTGTATCTGCAGGACAATCGAAAGAGGGGAGTGATTGTGGTGGGTGCCTTTCCGCTCCCCCAAGATGCCCACACTCTCTTCCAGGTACATCTGAATGTGACAGTTATACTTGGCAGTGGGGAGTTAAGGTTGCAAAAGAGGAATTAAGGCTGAGAATCAGCTGACTGACCAATTCTGCCATGCAAGAGGAGCCTTAGAAGTAGCACTTGTTTTACATTACTGAGGTAATGTGACAAGGAGGGCAGTGACAGTGACAGTGACAAGGAGGGCAGTCGAGTCACCACATCTACATGGGGGCTGGGTGAGCGGCATCATTGATGATGTGTCTCCCTACTTCTTCCTCACCCTGTTTTCCAGACTGTCCATTTGTAGCTCCTTCTGTTTTTAAGGTAGCCATGAATTGTTCAATCTAATATGAATTCACCTATATACAAATGCCACCCTTGCAACTAATCCAGAGACAGGATTGGGGGTGTCCAAGTGTCCTCTGCAGAAGGGAGATCAAGGCAGAAGTGGCAGTGCTCCCATCACATCAATGTTACTACACCGTCCTGCCAGGAAGAATACTTTGTCACCTATTAGAATTTCATTTGACTCTAAAAGAACTCAGGATAAAGTCTAGATGCACATGAAGTTATATGTGGCTCGAAAAGGGATCATTTCCAGCATGACATTCAGAACTTTTTAATGAGTGTATGGAGGCAATGAGATCAGAAACTTCTCTCCAACTGTGACTTCTAAGCACAATAATACCTTGCACATGCAACGTTGAAATTCTAGTAGTAAGTAGACTTACCCCAAGTGCTACTGCTTCTGTATTAAAGCTTCTAAGTTCTGTTCCTGTAATTGGACTCACTGTCTGTATATTTCCTTGAATCGGGTAATTGTTAGTTAACATTCCTGAAATGACGAAGGGCTGCTGTCCATTCTGAACTTGGCTCGTAACTGTGGGACTTGAAGATGGTTGATACTCAGGAGGCAAGAGGTTGCTTGGTGGGTGAAGACTGTTTATTTGTTCATGCACATTAGTTTGGGGTGTTGGCGTGGATGACTTCATTCTGTCCTGTTACAATAGAAAAAAACATGATGCATTTATCCATAAAAGAAACTGAAGATAATCTTGTCAAATGCCAATTATTTATGAAAATGGAGGTGAACAAGTGAGCAGATACTAGACAATGACAACTAACATAATCATTTTTTAAAAATGAAATCTGGTACATCATATCCTCAGAAGGAAGTAAAGGAGGGGAATACACTTTATTTTGGAAAATAAACTTATTTTTCCATTCCTAGTTGATTTTGTAGGGTCTGTTTGCCTGTGTAGCCATCCATCAGCCATCCAGCCACTCATCCATTCTGACTTCACTGCTTCTGAAGGACCAAGAAAGAAGGAAGCGATTGTTGCAGGTAGAATTATGTGCCTTTCCCTCTCCCCCTAGGTGTCCACATTCTAATCCAGGAACATGTAAGCGGGTTAGGTTATATGGCAAAGGGGAATTAAGGTTACAATTGGAATTAAGGTTGATAGTTTATCTTAAAAGCAAAGATATTTTCCTGGTTTTTTGGGGTGGACCTAATGAACCCCAAGGAACCTTAAAAGTGGAAGAGGGATGAGAAGAAGGGAGTTAGAGAGAGCTGTGGTGATGGAAGCAGGTGGAAGATGGTGGCGAGAGGCCATGATGGAGGGAGGTGGCCATGAGCCAAGGATTATGGGTGGAAACCAGAAAAAAACAAGGAAAATGGATTCTCTCCTACAGCTTCCAGAAGGGCATGCCACTCTACCAGTGCTTTGATCTCAGCCCAGTGAGGCTGGCGGTGGGCTTTTGATGTACTGAGTGTCAGATAGTTCACTTGTGTTGTTTTACACCATGATGTTTGTGATAATTTGTTACAGCAGTAAACAAAAAAACAAAACAAAACAAAACAAAAACCAATACAGGGCTGAGAATACAACTAGATTGTAAGAAAAACAGTCCAAGATTTATAATTATTTGTTGGTACTTTTCCAAGTAGAGAATTCACCAATGGTCATATCAGTCAATAAATAATCAGGCTGTAAAATAATGACAAATGTATTTATTGGAGAAGAGGATCATAGTCCAGGTCCACAGCCAGGGACAGGCCTAAGGTGTGTTCCATCTTAGGATAGGGGATAGGGGTTAGCGGAGTTCTAAAAGGTTAAGCAGGGGAGGGGGTCTAACTAGGTTAGGTCATTTGCTGGAATTTTGGATTGGAGTCTTCAGGATATTTCAGTGTGGGGTCTTTGTAACAATGAACAGGTGGCTTTACTGTTTCTTTATCATTGCTAGGTAAGAGCAGGAGAGTTAGTAGCCATTGATAAGGAGAAATTAGTGGGTGTTCTTTTGTAGTCATTAGCGGGGAGTTAAGTTGTTCACTTTCTACCTAGAAATCTCATCGAGGCAGAGATTGGTGGAGGTTGTTTGACTCAAAATAAGTTCTATAGTCAATTAGGTTCCATGGTCAATTAAGTTGATTCTCTTTAAGAAACATATTCATGACATCTCTCATTTGTTTATGTCCTTCCTGAAGTTTAAAGTAGCTCTTACAGGTCCTTCTTGTGGCCAAGGGAAGTGTTGTTGGAAGTAAACCAGCACTACTAGTTATGGACATCACTATTAATCCTTGAAAAAAAATCATAACACAAAAAACATTGTCCTTAGATTTCTTTTGGGGGGGACCTTCTTCTCAAACTATTTCTTATACATCACAAATATCCAGAATGCAGGCATTACGGATGCCCTCATCCTTGGGATGATGTACGAGGAGCTCATGGGTGTTTTAAGAGGGACACTTATTCAGATCATGTATTCAGAGAATCCTGGTATTTCAGGGTAGGCAAGAGTCTTTCCAATTATCTTATCCAAGCCCCGTTGGTTTACAGAAGAGAAATCAAACCTGGACTAGTTAAATGCCATGATTGAGGTGGTGTACATCATCTGTGGAGAGCCAGGACTAGAAAGTTGAGCTCATGATCCTCGGGGTGGAGGTCCTGGCCACAGCCTCACTGTCCACTCTGGAGGCTTGTGGAGTTTTCTGCCAGACCAGCCTTTGGGACAGTATGAACTCTGTTCTTGTAACTCCCCAACAATAAAACAAGTGTCTCCTGATGCTACAGAGAACACTTTATTAACCAGCTGTCTTCTGGTGATTCAGTGATTAAGTTAGTAAGGTTTCTCCTCAACCAGTCTCAGGTGAGCTGCCTAGTGAGCTAACATTTACAGTACGCGAACACTGACCGTGTAGCATAGCAGAATGTCATGATTGGGAGCATGAACTCACGGTTAGAATCCCAACTCTGACACTAACTCAGTGTATGACAAAACTTCCTAATAAGCTTTGTTACCTTAGTTTCTTGAGAATAGTAAGAGTACCTTTCTTAAAGGCCATTTTAAATATCAAAATTCTTAGAATTACACCTGTTACAAACGCATGGGCTGGCTATATTATTATTGCCTGTTCAGTGGGTGAGATATGTTTCTTAGCCTTTGCCCATGAGGTATGGACTCATTTCACAGTAAGAATTGAATCCAGAACCGACTCTGCTCAGATGCTAGACACAACTGAAAAAGGCTAAAACTTGGACTGGCAGAAAACACATTGTAGAAAACATCTGATACTAAGGGATAACTTTCAAAATGGAAACAAATTTTAATCCACAAATGGTTATTATAAACAAGGAAAAAGAAATAGATTCATAGCTGTGATTCTTGGGGTGATTTCCTTTAGCTCCCAAATAACATTTGTGAATATGAGGTTTATATCCTGTAGATCTGCTTTCTGTGACCTCGTGCTCCTTCCTCTAATCTCCAATCTGCTCAACCCCTTG